TATTTGCAACATTCTTTCTATAATACATCACAGCAAAAAAAAATGATGCCTCATGTTTGTGTCTCACTGAAGCTGATGAATATTTGTGCTGCTGTGGCCCTGTTGGCACTTTTCTGATGATGGTGAGGTGGCTCAAAACTAACCAGGCAGAAAAAAGCAGTTCATTTTTGCCTGATTCTACTCACTGAGCCAGGTCAATCCCCCTCCCTAGTTGCTGGTGCCATGTAAAGGAGGCAGTGGAAACATGTGGTTGGGGACAGAGAAAGAGGAATGGGACTCCAGCAATTTGGGCTGAGATTGGCTTGAACTGCTGTGAAACTGCACCAACGGCTTTTCAAGTTCTCTTAAATCACTTGGTAGTTCCAGTCTTGAGATCTTGAGCAATAAAATGATGGCTTAGGAGCTCTTTCCTTCTATCAGTCTGCAATTTCTGAGATAATATCTCTTCATCAAAAATAGTTTTAAAGGTCTTTAGTACTATAACACTTGTCTCAAGCTGAAGTCCCAGGCATATTTTGACAGTTTGCCTACTCACTTGTGTTTGAAGTCATGATTATATTTGGAGAACTCAGGCATATTCACAGAATCTACCTGCAGAAAACATCTCCAAATTTAAAATAGAAACCATATTCCTTTAACAATTAATTTTATTATTTTCTGTACCTTTTAGCATCCTTGTCTGAAAGAGCTAATCAGTTGCCTATCTTCTGCTCAGAACCAGAGAAAAGCTTGGAGGAAGAGATTTAGCCTTTTAAAATTGTACAGCTTTCTGGTGTTGCAATAGGGTTTCTTTCTTGGCTCCTTCCTTGTAAGCACATCCATTAAATTGTAATGTCATTTATTAACGTAAATAAGAGACTACTATCCCGAACAACAACAGATCCCCTCTGCTAAGTTTCGTTGATCAAATGGAGAAAATTTTACAGCTGTCAAAAAACAGCCACAGTGATTGTTGTCAGAGAAGGAATTGTACAGTCTTCCCATGTTTGTGCTTTGCTAGTCCCATGTCTCTCCCATGAGCACTACCTCATGGACTTGGGAAAATGAAGCTGATGGCAAATATATTCTTTCCACGGGCTGCTTACACTCACCTTCCCAAGCGGCCACTCTTCAGTGTGCGAGACGTTTCAAAATCAGAGTACCTGGTACCATTTCCATGGGTTTTTTGAATGTTTCTTTGTTTCTGACCACCATGTGCTCACTCCTAGTCATTGACCAGATCGATGCATTAGAGATTCTTTGGCTATCAGTTCTGACAGACACAGACATTACCCCTTGCCATTTCTGGGACTTCAGCAAAGTGGGCAGTGAGACTATGCCTTTGTCTTATACTGCTAGGCATTCCTATGTTAGGTTCAGTACCTTCAAAGTTTTGACTAGGCAAGAATGCAACCTGTTTTCCTGTCATACCAACGTAATGTTTTCTTTGCAGCTGCCAACCCCTGGCAGTCATTGTATAAATCCCATATATCTCATGGTAGTCATGCAGGAATATTGTTTGTTTCCTTTGTGCTCTGATCTAAGGTCTCCAGGAAAAATTGGGGAAGTGCTTTTGAGCAACTGTGATCTTTCCTGTCTAAATATCTGCTATAGTTTGTTTGAAACTGTTCACATCTCATTTCCCTTCTGTGGCTCACATCTGTCTGAGGGTCCTACAAGGCTTGTGTCAGCCTTCATTGAAGGAGAGGTATGAGGGCAAAATGTAAAAAGGGCGGATATGTGGCAGGTGAAAGTGAATATATTTTTTGCAATATCATGCAATATATTTTACTGGGGTCAGCTGAGTTGTGGTATCCCAGGGAGGGATATCTTTCCTGTTGTTGGCAGGGTAGTTGGACTGAGAAAGGAGAGCCGGAGAGCAGCTGTTGGCCTCGCACTATGTGACTATGATTGCCCTTGACTTGTGTCGTTGTCCAAGTAGAGAGAAATGTGGGAAGCAAAATAAGACCCCAAATAGACAATTATGTGTGCACGTGCATGCATGTATTTGTGTGTGTGTATGCCCACATACAAAAATAAATATTTTCCTAAAAGTTTTAAACACTCAATGATGCACCTGTTGTAGAAGGATTTTTAATGCTATTTGAAGATGTTTATATCAACTTAATACAAATGTATTCAAACCTTTTAGGCAATAAAAAGCTCTGTGCAAAGAGCAGATCCTTTGAGGTCAGTGACAAAGGAACATCAAGAAAAGAAACCATCCAACTGCTCCCTTGGCAGAAGCACAACACCGACTGGCAGGAGAACACCTCACCAGGGAAGACTGACACCTTTTGAACCAGAAAAAGTAAGCCTGTAGCAAGGTCTATTTAGACTGCCTTTATTTTCTTTTTAGAGTATTGTTCAGAAGCTGGACTTGGATCACGATTCCCCACGTAGCTGCTGCTTGGTCTTCTTTCCCTGGTACTGCAGGGGTTTTGCTAGAAATTATCTTAGACACTGTTTGTACATTGAGCTATTCGGGCACCTGTAGGCCAGTGCATGGGTGAATGCTTTGAAACCTCCACCTGCTGCCCTCAGAAATAGTTCAGAGGTGATCACATGCACCATGCATCGGGGCATCACACAGGCCAGTGACTGCTTGGCGGCCAGGGGCTGGGAGCATCAGGGGCTCTCTGGGGGGTCTGGCAGGGCAGGGCCCATCCCAATGCCCCAGCCAGGGAGAAAGGCAGGCTGGGGATGGGAGTCAGGGTCAGGCCAGAATCCCAGTCGTCAAAGGCCATAGTGATGAGGCAGGTCTGGGGTTACACCTGGAACTCAGCCCATGGGTCAGGGCTGGGGTTTGGATCAATGAGGTTCATGGCCAGGCACAGACATGACTGTGATGCAACCCAACAAGGACCAAGTGTGAGAGCCACAGCTGAAATGCAACTCTCAAGAAAAGGAGGGGGTGGGGGGGCTGTCCCAGGCTTCTTCCAGCTCTTTCACCCACATCTCTTTCTTCACAACAGTCTGAACCAAGATTAGGCACCTGCACCATATCAGTGAGCTGGTCATGCTCACAGGCAGCTAAACTCCTAGGAAGGGGAAGTGTACTCCAGCCATGTCACTGACAGCTCCCATGTTACAGTGAAGCATGACAGTATGTCAGGGCCTCTCCATTTTGCTTCAGGTTGTACATCAACCCTCTCCTACTGCGAGAACAGATGATAGGAAATCACCTGGAGCTGTCTCGTATCTGAGTGGTTTTAAGGAGCCTAACTCATCTTCCTTTGTAAAAGGTAAGATTTGTAGGAACTTTCTGCCTGCTTAGAGTGGTCTGCAGATGACTTGGAGACACTGGTCCACAGCTCTTGGCTCACAGGCAATATGTTGTCACTAAAGCTCTCCTTTGATTCTTGGAAGAATTATAAACTTTATGTTTTAGAAGAGCAGGAGAACAGATTGCGCTGTTGCCTGCAATTTACTCATTGAATTGGTTGTCCTGGAAGCCCAGAAGGTGGAGAACAGATGTGGTCTGCACTTCTTTGTTAGTAAACATTATCACTAGAAGAAGCAATGTGTTACAAGAATCTGAGAGCTAGCATCTTAAAAAAAACTTCTGAGATAGGTATGGAAACGTGATTCAGCAGTTTTCATATGCTTTCAATGACCCCTTTTACTTTGCTTTTTCTCATAGGCAGGCCTTTGCCCATTTCAGATAGCTCAGAAGACATGCCTCTCTCACATAACCACAGCAACAACACTTGCAGCTTTACACTCTGCAGTAACAATGAGGAAACAGAGGTATTTCACCATGTAACTCTATAAAATAATTCAGTGAGTCTGTGATCTTAGTTTTCATATAGAAAATACTAACTCCCATTTAGCTGGGAACAGTACTCTCCTAGGTTTATTTTCTTGTCTCTGCTCATGATAAGTGCACTGTTTAAAACAATATTGCAATGGCTTACAAATAATACAGTAGATTTCTTTATCAAGATATTCCTGCACAACTGTTGGACATTAATATATTTATGTTGCTAGTTAACATTTTAATTTTGGCTCAGGAAGAAGAGACTCTTAATCTTAAAAAGACAGAAAAATCACTAAAACCTCAGAACAGAGTGGCTTTTGTGACCACACACAGGAGACGTGGCATAACTACATATGACAACAAAGTACCTACAGACAGTTCTCCTGCTTTTCTGGATGCTGAAGCAAAGGTTTGAGCAACTTACAGTTCTGGCTCTTATATGATCAGCAACTGTCTTCTCTCCATTTGTGAACTGAAATAAAACACACCAAGAAAAAGAAAATCTTCCATTCCCATTTCCTGTGCTATGCAATGGACACAGACCTTTAGGGATGGATCTGGCAACTTGAGGCACTGTGTTTACAGCTTTTTACTGGAGCATATCATTGTCCTGTGGGGAGCAGTACTCCCTGTTTCTTTGGATCCCACAATTCAAAATACATCACATCTTCAAACTGTAATTAACATTAGTTAGTAACTGTTCTGGATGCTATGTGCCAGATGTCAATTAACTTAAGGCTCTTTTATGCTGCCAGACAGTGCAAAGAGCACTCACTGTAACGGTAAATTGGATGTGTAACATCCTGAATAGCCCTTAGTTACATAGTTAGCATTACCTACAGCTAAGAACTATGTAATTTGTTTTGGAAGAGTGGATCTAGCTAACAAAGGTACCTTTCTTTGCAAATCAGTATCCCAATATTCAGAGATAGTTCTGTTCTTTGTTCTTGTGTTTATTCTCTCCATTTCCTATAGTATATTTTCACCAGAATGCACTCTTGTCCCCTCATTTTTTGGACTTTCTCTATACTACCTTTTTCTTTGCAAAATTAAGTTAATTGGAGTTAATGTACAACATTCCTAGTTATGACTGAAAGATCAAAATTCATTACAAATGCAAGGCAATACCAGAAGGAAGGGCAGCTTTCCTCTGTGTGTGTGAAAGTAAATATGTTTTTTGCACAGTTGATTGAAATTAATGAAAATATGTTAAAAATATTTCTGTTTATATAACACTAACTGTGATGCTTTCATGATATAGCCTCCAAAATCAATATTATCTAGAAGATCAGTGTTACATCAAGAAAGAAGAAAAAGTAAGGAAGAGGTGCAGGAAAAAATAGAATATCCTGATGGAAAGGTGAGATAAAACAGGATGCAAAAATACTTGAAGAGATCACCAATAGGACTGCAGTATAGATGGGAATCACTGCTTCAAGTAGCCAGAGACAATTATGTCTCTAATTAACCGTCTGTTCCTTAAAGGAGAGCTGAAGCGTAAAGTTCACAACATGAATGGTAGGAAATATGTATAGATGATGGGCTGGATATCAAATAACAAAATTATTTTCTTATCTCCCACATGGATTTGCTCTATGATTTTCACCAAGTCCTTTTTGTTTCAGCTACATCTTTTGTGGGCTGGGAGGAAGTATATGCTTACTATTAGAAATGAAAATGTGCTAGTGGAGTAGTGATGGTGTTTTGTAGTGTAAGATTAAAGGCCATTCTTTTCTTTCCTTGGAAGTGAATCTAATGGCATTGAGCTGCGCCAGCTGGACACCACTTATGGGAGAGTTCTTATTATACACAGCTGGCTACACCTGGAGAAGCATCAGCAGAGTTTTGCTCGATGCAGCCTATCCAGTTTGCTCAAGCCACCTGTCAAAATCCCCAGCGATTCCCCAGTTGCATCTCGAGATTGCTTCCAGCTGCCCTTTGTCTTGAGGCCTGTAGCTCAGCCTGGCAGCTGGTTTTGCCCCTTTTCTGGAAATCCCTGTCTTCCAGGAGGGGATGAGTGGACAATTCTTGCTGGCTTCCCATTGTGTCCCTGCACTCCTTGCCACCAAACTGAGTAATTTGTTCCTGAGTGGCTATGTCACCTTTCCTGCACAGCACCTCAGGAATCATCTTGAAAGGCTAATTCTGTAGATGAGTCTATGTGTTGGAAATTTGGTGCATTGCTGTTGGGAAAGGTGGCCAGCAAGGTGACCAAGTGAGCTTGAGCTATTTTCACTGCTGATAGACGAGCACTCTTTCCAACACTGTCGCTTCTCATCTGGGCCAGATCTGAACTCAGTCCCAGATGTCCCTTCAATTACATGACACCAAGAAGGCTTATCCCGTTAAAACATTCCCTTGATATTGACTGAGGGTAATCTATGCCCAATTACAGTTGTCAATTTTGGGTAAGGTTTTTGGCTAGATAAAGTTAAGACAGTAATCCAGTTTCTGTGTCCGTTCATTTCTGGGCTTCTCTTCTCACCCTGCAAATACAGGTGTTGATTACAGATACCTTCCAGTGAGCAGCCATAGAAATGGCTTTTGCAATATAACAGTTGTTCAGGGAATACTGGTTTGAGATGCCAGTTCTTTTATAGCTAATGCTGAGATGGGCTCTGCGTAAGCTTCTACCAATCACAGTTCCCTCTTGTAGAAATGGTTTTGATCCTCAAAAGAAAAATAATTGTGAAAAAAGTTCACTCTGACATTTTTACCACTGGATTTTATTCATAAAATTAAGTGGTGGGCTGGACTTTCTTGTGCAACTAGAGAGAAAGGTCAAAATGGGGATAGATGCCTTTGCAAAGACATATTAACTCTCATTTAAACTACGTGGAACTTCTTGTAGCAATGCCTTTTATCATAAGTGGGTCTAAGAACATCTTTCCACTATTAACTAGTAATTGTTAAATAAAATCATTTCTAAAAAACTAAAGACTTGCCCTCAGTAATCATTACAATGCCTGTTTGGGGAAATACCACATTTCTCTTCCCCCAAGCATATTTATTCTTTTTTTTTTTTTTCGGTTGGGAGGTATTCCCTTTTTGTGGAGAGTCTGATAAAATTAGAACCATATGGCAGAGCTATAGTGCACCTTCTGGTTGTCTTCTTCCTTGGACTTCACCAAATGAACTCTATTATGGGATTTGATATATGCTGAACAGAACCAACTGCCATAGTAATTCCAGGAAAATTGATTAACCAGAGGCTATGCTAGGTATGAAGTCTTCTTTGATCAATGAATGGTTTGTAGAAAAGCACACTGATGACATTATTGCCCCCTGTTGTTAAGAAGTCTTCAGCAATTTTGCAGATGTCTGCACGCAGCCACATTTAATTCAGTAGTACTGAACATCCATACAGGCTTATGTTACTGGGAATAAAATGGTTGTTAACATGTCAGCAGTCTGTGTTAATACATCAAGTTCAATAATTTTGGTTCACACAATCCAGAACCAGGATCTCTCAAGTGACTTGTGTAGAATGTGTACCAGCATATATGAGATTAGTACAGACACTAACTCACTGAAGTTGGTCAAGGAAAAACCTGAATGGCTTCCTGATTGCCACAGGGCTGTGTGCCTTACCTTGCTTAACAGAAAAATAAGGTGGTGGGGCGGGGTGGAAACTTGGGCCAAGTGCTAGAATTGAGTTCATTTTGTGAAAAGAAAATTACTTTTGGTCTCTTTTACACATATGGTGAATGGAGTTAAATATAGTTGGCGGCCATTCACAAGTGGTGTTCCCCAGGGCTTATTATTGGGGCCAATTCTGTTTAATATCTTTATCAATGATCTGGATGAGGGGATTGAGTGTGCCCTCAGTAAGTTTGCAGACACCAAGTTGGGCGGGAGTGTTGATCTGCTTGAGGGAAGCAAGGCTCTACAGAGGGACCTGGACAGGCTGGATTGATAGGCTGAGGCCAACTGTATGAGGTTCAACAAGGCCAAGTGCCGGGTCCTGCACCTGGGTCACAACAACCCCATGCAACACTATAGGCTTGGGGAAGAGTGGCTGGAAAGCTGCCTGGCCGAAAAGGACCTGGGGGTGTTGGTAGACAGCCGGCTGAACATGAGCCAGCAGTGTGCTCAGGGTGCCAATAAGGCCAACAGCATCCTGGCTTGTATCAGGAATAGTGTGGCCAGCAGGACTAGGGAAGAGATTGTCCCCCTGTATTCAGCACTGCTGAGGCCACACCTCAGTTTTGGGCCCCTCACTACAAGAAAGACATTGAGGTGCTGAAGCATGTCCAAAGAAGGGCAATAAAGCTGGTGAAGGGTCTGGAGCACAGGTCTTATGAGGAGCAGCTGAGGGAACTGGGACTGTTTAGCCTGGAGAAGAGGAGGCTGAGGGGAGACCTTATTGCTCTCTACAACTACCTGAAAGGAGGTTGTAGTGAGGTAGGTGTTGGTCTCTTCTGCCAAGTAACAAGTGATAGGACAAGAGGAAATGGCCTCAAGTTGCGTCAGGGGAGGTTTAGGTTGGAAATTAGGAAAAATTTCTTCACGGAAAGGGTTGTCAAGCATTGGAACAGGCTGCCCAGGAAAATGGTTGAGTCACCATCCCTGGAGGTATTTAAAAGATGTGTAGATGTGGTGCTTAGGGACATGGTTTAGTGGTGGACTTGGCAGTGCTAGGTTAACAGTTGGACTTGATGATCTTAAAGATCTTTTCCAACCTAAATGATTCTATGTTCCTACGATAAATGAGGCAAAAATAATGTACCTGTGCTACAGAGATAGCTTTTGAAATACAAAGGCACAGTGTGACTTACTTCAAGCTCCAATTTAATTGGAAGGCAGTGCAATGTTACTCATTTCCTTTAACTTCATTTACATTAGATGATCTATGTGTTTGAAGGTAGAAGAGGTGCTTACTGATGGACGTCGAATCATCACTTTCCGCAATGGTACTAAAAGAGAGATCAGTGCTGATAAAAGGATGACTACGATCAGCTTTTTCAATGGAGATGTAAAGAAGATCATGCCAGATCAGAGAGTGGTGTGTAACATTTTTTTTTTTCTTTAAGGAAAATTTAATAATTAAGCGATTTTCCAACAAGGTTCCATCATTTATCTTGATCTATCAATTCTGGGAGAAACTGATGAGGAAGGGTGTTGGTTTAACAACCCTGAGTGGTGAGACTGCTTCATCTACAAGGACAAACGTGGAAAGAGATGAAGGTAACAGTCAAAGGAATAAATGGGTAGTTGGCCAAGCAGATTAAAGGAGACTGAAAGAAGGCAAAGGGCAGGGGCAGCCATCTGAAGCAAGGACTGTTTTTTATACATTTGTAGGGTAGGTAGCACAGGGGGTTCTTCTTTCTTGGCATTACATAAATATTAATAGTTAATAATAATGTGAGCTAGAGTGGAAATAAGTGAGGCCTTGGCAGCAGTGGGACTATTTTAAATTAATAGTGCATGGATGGGAACCAAAGCAAAGAGATGGCAAGACGACTTTCATGCATGCACTGTTGTCTTGTACGCTACAGAGATGAAAGTAGCAACATCTAGACACACCGATGAGGAGGGGGGTGAATGAGAAGAAGGAACAGAAATGCAAACATAGCTACTTTTGTGGATGGCAGATACAGAAAATGACCTTGAAATTACTTTTTAAAGATGGCTTATTTTTAAGCACATTATGGTTGAATCTTCTTATTCAAATATTGTGAACATGCTGCAAACGCTTCACTCTCCTTCCAGATTTATTATTATGCAGATGCACAGACAACCCACACTGCTTATCCAGATGGCCTGGAGGTGCTGCAGTTCCCTAATAATCAGATAGGTATGCAAGAGCTCATCAATGTGAACTACATGTGCGGGAAGGTTTTTATTATGAAAGTGTCATCTGACTCTGACACCAGCAGATTGGGTTTTTTCTCCCCAATTTGGATTGTCTTTGCATTTGACTTCCAGTATGTTCCATCACTTTACTGCTCAGTTTCCTCCTACAAAGATAATAATCGTGTGTAAATGCATCTCTTCTAATTTTGATTATCTGATTATTTGATTCTTTACTTTCTTTAGCAGTACACTGGATATAATTTCCATCCTCACTACAATGTCCAAAAAAAATCTTACCTAGCTCTGTGTAAAGCAACATGAAAGAATACTGGACAGACTTTTTACATCTTCTTTTCCACAGAAAAACATTATCCTGATGGCACACAAGAAATTGTGTTCCCAGATCACACAGTGAAATGCCTCTATAGCGACGGATTCAAGGAAACTTTTTTCCCAGATGGTACAGTAGTAAAAGTAGAAAAGTAAGTCTTGTGTTAATGACAGGAACCAGGCATTGGGCGCTGGTACAATGATACTGACATTTAAAACTGTGGTTGGATTCTGCAGGGCTGGGAAATGTCTGGATGAAAGGGGAAAGGATTTGTGAGATAACGGGTTTTGCTACAATGAGGCACTGAAAACTGTTCACTTCCACCTTGGATGATAGATGACCATTTATCACTGGCAAAGTGACTGTGAAATATTCCTCATTTAGTTCCATGTAACTACACTGGCTAGGGTTGCTGGGAGATCACCAGTTGTCTGTGTTAACAACGTGGGTACTAAAGGACTCAGGATGAGGAGTCCTGAGCTCTATTCCTAGCTTTTGGGCTCCCTTTCTGATCTTGGGCAAGGCATTTCATGTATTATCTCTCTATTCCTCTATGTAAAATGAGGAAAAATAACAACAGGACTTTCTTACACTTGCCTCTTCTGGGCTTAGGGAGGATCCTGTTGTAAAACAGATTTCCTGCTTGCAAAATGCCTTGAGAACCCTGCATAAAGAAGTCATGTAAAATGCAGAGCCCACCATCCATTAGGTATTATACTATGTACTGAAGTACCTTTGTATTGAAAACTTATTGTGAGATCAGATCTCTAATGCCATCCCATGTAAATTCTGAGGTGAATTATAACCTGAGAAAGTTGTCACTCGACATTATTTTCCACTTTCATTTTGCCACATTAGACAGCTCAGTGAGATAGGTTAATAACAGATAGTGTCTTCTCATCACTTCGGTCATTGCTATTTCTTTCAGGAATGGAGATAAAATAGTGGTATTCAGTAATGGTCAAAAGGAGGTTCACACTGCGCAGTTCAAGAGGCGGGAGTACCCAGATGGCACTGTAAAAACTGTGTACCGCAATGGCAGACAAGAAACCAAGTACTCCACTGGACGAGTTCGAATCAAAGATGAGGAGGGTAATACCATCCTAGACAAGAAGTGATTCCTCCCCTCAAAGGGCTGCACTGTACGTAAGTAGCTCAACCCATTTTCCCGGCATGTCAGAACTGTTAGGAAGATTTAAGCTTTGTGAAAATGAACGGATGGATCTGTAGGGCTGAAATTTACTTTGGTTTGGTGACTGGTGCTCAGTTTGGAAAAACCTTACCTGAATGAAATGTCTCTTGAGTGAGACTTGAAGGAAATGCAGTCATGCCCTCTTTGTATATGCAACATTAAAATAAATGCCCACAGTACTTGTCATCAAAGTGTTTGTTTCACAATACTGATCACACTTCCCCTTGGTTTTCTGCGTTAGTTACAAAAGTGACTACAATTAAGGAGCATGGCATAAGAACCTCAAATCTACAAAGCTTTTTGAATTTCAGTTCAGTGCTGTCTTATGCCGACTAAAACAAATATACTGGGCTTTTTTTTTTTTTTTCTCAGTTAACCATCACAAAAAATGTGGAAGTGATTAATGTTTTCAGTTTGGCTGGGTTCTTTGGAGCAGAAGATCCCAGCATGCATTAGGCCTTATCATGAGCTGTACATTAGACCAAAACCTGAGCAGGAGTTCAGCGAACAGTGATAACTCTAGATGTCTCTTCCAATGTGAATTATTCAATAATTATATGATCATAATCTAAGAACTCTGTCCCATGCATTTGAAGACAAAATGTAATGTTTATTCCATCCTGGTCATTATTCTGGACAAAACAGCCCTTTCTTTTTTCCTTCCGGCAGTCTTTCCTCAGACCTCCTCTGTGTTGCTTTGCTTTTGAATTAACCTCTCCCACTACTGCCTTTATTCTTCCAGTAGTGGAAGAATATTTCTGGTCAGTGAATCTCTCCATCTTGAAGACTCTTTGGATTGCACTTGATACCTAGGGGGATTAATCATTTATCAGATGCTGTTTTCAACTGCCTTCCCCATAGACTGCCTGTCCATCATCTGTCTTGAATTTTTCCAAAGCACTGAAGCATTTCCCCTGTAGAACTCAGCTCATTACCTGCCCATTGACTGAGAAGACCAGTTATCTCCTCATGCCCTTCAAATTCCTGTAGCAACAAACACACTTTCATAGCAGGCTGCTTTAGCCTTTTCTCACACCTAAGTGCAAAATAATTGCAAGATTATGGAATTGCTCTTTCTTCTCTTCTGTTTCTAGTGGGTCAGACTGCCGACAAATCACCATTCAAATTACAGAGCATCTTTGGAAGAAATAGACTGAATAGAGCAAGAAGTATTGCTAATATTGATCATACACATGCTGCAGTTTATGAATTTAATTATGATGCCCTAAACGCCCATGCAGTTTGATGTCAGGTGGTGTGATAATAAAATTGCATTGTTTTTCCTTTACTCCTGTATAACAAAGGAACAATTTATAAACCTGTGCTTTTCACTACTGGAATATTTAATATATTTTATGTGTTTTGTAAAAGGAAACTTTAATTAAAAGAAATGCAAGAGATCATTCTTTTCCATGTGTTTCACTAAGAATTTCAGTTCAGTGCTGCCTTACACTGACTAAAACAAATCTACGTTGGTTTTTTTGTCAATTAAGCATCACGAAAAAAGTGAATGGGATTAATGTTTTCAGTTTGGCTGGGAAACTAGATGTGATACTAATATTCTGTAAAGGACCGCTGTTTTTATTCCAAGGAATTCCTTTTAACAAAAGGTCCCTGTTCTCCGGTTAATATGCTGACATTCTCTTTGTTTCTATAGTAATACAGAAAACAGGCTTTGTCTGCAGCTTTTAGCCTTAAATCACCATTTGCCATTCAATAACCTGCGTATATAATCCCTTCTAATTGTAAATTAAGTAAGGAACAATTTTGTTTGCATGCTGCTTGCTCCTTGCTTCATTAAGCACTCTCTACTGTACTTGCAGGAAGCATTCTGATTCTGGAATAATTAGGCTTGCGACCCTGCACAGGTATAATACATGGGGGATACACATGTCAGTCTCTAGAACTGTTGTGCATGCAGACACCTTGCTGATGTGTGCATTCACCTTGTTAGCTCCTGCTTACAGGGAGGTTGTAATGGTATGTCAGTATGGGCCTGGTTCTACTTTCTGGCAAATCAATGGCAAAAATTCCATTGGTGAAATCAAAGAGTGAGACTACTGAGGATTTCATAGTACTTTTGTCAACCAGTTTACTGTTTTTATCAAGACATGTTTTTCAAGTAATATTTTATAGTGTAATAGCAAAAGGATTATTGAAATAAGGGGCACAAATTTGGTTTGAAAAGGAGGAGACAGAAAAACACTTATGTAAATGACAAGCTCTGTCAGGTATGTTATAACTGGGGGTCCTTCACAGACCAGTTCTGACACATGCCACATTATTTTTCTCAGGCTGATTTGCACACCCTATCTCCTCTAACTTCCACTTGTATTAGTTAACCAGAAGCAGTAATGGCTCCACCAGCTATAGTTCATGGTTGTAGGAACACAAATAATCTCATTTAAGTGTGACTGCTTATGTAAACTGTAGCAATACACATACCTACTTTACTGGGCTTTTTGTCCTAGAGGGTTTATAGTGAACAAAATTTTATGAATCCTTCAGGGAGATGAAACACAGTTGGTAAACCCCAATTCTTGTCTTTCCACAGGTTTTCTGGCATTAGCAGAAGCATGCTGCAGCCAGTATTTGGCCTCAATTTTGAATCAAATTTAGAATACGCTGTGACTTCTGAACAGTTACTTCCATTCAAACAGCTGGGGGCAGCAAAGATGTACAAGGGAAGGGTAATATTTTGACCATCATCTCAAGTGCTTCTGTTCAGTGGTTAGTATTTTTCCATGCACAGCTGATCACCAAAGTTTTACTGCAAGCAAAACAAAGCTGCCTAACCGCTGTACCCACCAGGTGGCTAATGCAGAGTCTGTGAGAGAGAGGTTTGATCCAGTCTTCTGAACATGACATTTGCTGTTTCTATTCTGTCCTCTGTTACCTTGGGAAGCCTAATTATTTATTTATTAAGAGTTTATCTGAAACAAAACACTGGAGCAGTATATAGATTTTTTCAAAATTAATTTCGATAAGTATTTCTACAGAATCCTGCTGATCATAAAGTTAAAGTTATTTCATACTGTTGTTTCATACAATGCAAAATTATTTTCTGGAAATGAATACTGGGAAGCTCACTGGATTCATCAAAAACATGATAGTTTTGTGTCATTCATATTACCCGCACCTTTGTAAACTGAGTGCATGTTGAATGCTCCCCAGTGTAAAGTGACCAGTTTTTCAAGTCATAAAGCCCCCTTATTTAGGAAAAGAAAAGAAGCAAAGATTGCTGAGAAAAATAATAAACAAAGACTGGCATTTCTGAGGGTTTTTTGAGAAATGCAACTCTCCATTTTTATTCTGGGATTACTTTAATATTGCAAGAATTACTTTAAAAATTAGTTAGTACTTTAATTTTAAAAAATAATCTCTCACGGTAATTGCTAAATTAGAATTTTTAAATTGTCTATTGTTTGAGATATCTCTCTAATACAATTTCACCGTACATCTACCTCCTTCAAGCTAAAGTTGTCATTTATGATATGTCTATTTAACCTAACATCATGAAGTTACACAGAAGTTAAATAGCCTACCCTTTTCTTTGTGTTCTGCTGTTTTGATGGTAACTGTTTGCTCACTAATTTGTTTATTTCCTTTATGATTCTCTTTACATCTGTCCCATCCCTGGAAGCTTGAAGTGCAGCTTCATTGAAAGGAAAAATAAGGACAAAATCTCCTACCCGGGGGATAGGCCTCTCGTCTTTATCAGAGAGGAAATAGGGGCGTATGGTTAACTCGTAGTTGCAGAAGTTGGGTGTAGGTAACTGGTGGCTGAGTTGGGCAGGCTTGTGTGGAGAACGCCCAGCTCCTGGGAGCTGTTTATTTTTAGCTTCAGCTTTTGCCTGGGAGGGTATTTTTGGCATGTTCATCCTTTCCCGCAGCTGGGAAGTCAGTGTTTTTCTTGGATGTGCTCTGGCAGTTTTCTTGGTCAGGGTAGCCACCTTACGAATTGATCCTCTTGCAGCCTGCAGGGCAGGTTGTACAGAAGAAGCAGAAGTACATTTAGTCACTTTTTGCCAAGTGAGAAAGCCAGGAGCCTCCCCGGTGACACTCTCACTAGCTGTGCTCACACGCCTTCTGCCAGCCTTTGTCCCGGCCACTTGGTTTCGCCTGAAAGTGTCAACCTCTTTGTAGTTCAGCAGTTCAACAATATCGTGAAGAAGTTTTCTTTTCACAGTGTCATCAATGGAACAGTCTAAACACAAGGCCGGATTGTAGTTGACTTCTAAAAGCCACGGCTTGAATTTGTCATCAATCAGGATGTCAAAGCCAAAGAGCTCAAAGCAATTGGAAGCCACTGGTAAGGGGGTTACAGCAAGCAGGGTGAGAATCACTATGTTATTGATCTTCTGCCAGAGGAGAATGTCATCAACCCCAAGTATTCGTAGGTAAGAACGAAATTTGCTGAATGTCCATTTGCAGCCACAACCAATCCCTTCTTTATACTTTTTGTATGAAACTCCATATTTGTTGATGCTGGTGTTTGTTAGGTGGGCATAGGCGTTGTCCAGAGAACTGAGGTCAAACTTTTCAGTGGCAAACCTCACCAGTCCTTCTTTGTAAGTGTAAATGGTGAGGGGGCAAAAACTGGTGACACACACATAGAGACGCAGATCCAGTTTATACCCTGAAATGAGCAAGGGGTTGCTAATGTACTTCTGCACAATGACTGTACAGTCATATACTAAGTCTTTAATGTCTTGGAAAATGAGTATGCCCCTTCCACGGGAAAGATCAACAGGCTTGCAAATCCAGTAGCTACATCTTCTGCCTACTGACTGTCTCTCCTTGCTGTATTCTGCTATAAATTTGACATAGTCATTGGGCATGATGAATGCCACTGGACTAAATTCATACAGAGCTGATCCATATGCTCCTTTCATACGTTTCAGCTGCCTTGCCAAATAGTCTTTT